GTCTAACCACATTTTAGAAAACATGCTTGAGGTTTGGGAGAGAGGCTGGATGGGGTCTGTCTACCCCACCCTGTTGCTTCTTTCTCAGGGGATTAAGTTCCCAAGACAGCAGTTAAGGGAAAAAGGCACAGAGTCAAAAATTACCCTTGGAAGTCTCTTAAATGCTACCTAAGGTATAATCTTTGTGGTTTTCTGTATGCAGCCATGAGCAGCCATTCTTCTGTAAGCTGAAGTTTGAGAACCTCTGAGCTCAGCTCAAAGAAGGAAGTCAGCATGCAGGTGTCTGGGCCTTCAAGTGAATCAGAAAATTCCTGGGGCGGAGTGGAATGCTAACGGAAATCAATTCCGTTTTTAAAAATTTAACACTAAGTCAACCCAGAACTGTTTGATGAATAGTACTAGTAAGAGACACAGGCTTCCTTAGATAGCCAGCCCCTAGAAGCAGGTGAAAAAAATACCCTTTCCTTTTCTTCTTTGTGATTGGCATATACTGGGGGTCAGTAAGCTAAGTCTCAGGCCACATCTGGCACCAGCCTGTTTCGGTGAGTGGAGTTTATTGGCACACAGCTGTGCCCATTTGCTCACAGTTTGTGTATGGCTGCTTCCACACTGTAACTGTGGAGCTGACTAGTTGAATGAGGGGCCACAGAGCTCCCAAAAGTGAAAGTATTTTTATCTGGTCTTTACAGAAGAAGTTTGGTGACCCCTTGTATATTCTCTTCTTTTTCATGCCTGAAGCCTTTTTGTTGTTAATTTGTAATATGTATGTATGAATTACTTTTCATCATACATACTGAAAATATATCATAGATTGATTTTTCAGAGTGTTAAAGAGAACAATGTGTAATTTTTGTATACTTACATCGATCCATCTTTACTTTTCCGGCTTCAGCCTTAGATGGCAAGCTTAGAAATCACCCTGAGGTGGCAGACACATTTGTCAGCAGTGTTTCATCACAGTGCCACTCCTTAAGGGTAATGAAAGGTCAGGGGTCCTCACGGCAGGCTCAGTACCGCTGGCCTCAATTCTGTTCTGAGAAAGTGACATTCAGTGACCACCTTAACCGCTCAGCACGTGGCCTTGCTGCTCTTAACTTAGCAGAGGTGGCCTTGGAGGAAAGGCAGTGACTGCTGAGCTTAATAGTACAATCTCTTTACCAGTTGTGCAGCCATATAGTGTATGGGTTAATAAAACGGGTGCAGGCTCACATCCTGATCCCTGCCCTTCAGCTGCTATGCCAAGTGACCGCCTGTCTCCATTTCCCCATCTATAAAGCAAGGATAATTGGATTATTAGGGTTGGTGTGAGAAATAACTTAGTACTTGGTACAGTGCCTGGCACATAGTTAGCTCTCCATGAATGTGAATGGCTTATGGTCTTTTGTACAGAAAAGGCTCCAGACATGTAATGGACTGGTATCCCATTTGTCAAGTGGGTGACAGAGGAAAATCAGCTACCCTAAACCAGATGGCCTAGGCTGATGACATGGGGTCCTCATGGTGGGCTAAGATGCGTGCATCAGGTGCCTGCTGTATGCGTGGTACAGTGGGATCCAAGTGACTCAACCTGGCACAGGAAGGACACACAAAGCATTTTGAGGACTCAGTACTTGGTTCTAGAGGGAGGCAGGGTCCCATAGTAGGAACATGAGATGGCTTCCAGGACAAGGTACCGTTGGACAAATCCCAGTGCTGACAGTATGACCTGCGGCTGCCTGCTTAAGGTAGCCTCCCTTTTCTAAGCTTCCATTTTCTCGTTTGTTAGTAAATGTTGAATATTTCCTGTGTACCAAGGCACTGTTTAAAAACTGGAGATTCAGCGGAGGAACAAGAATATAAAGCACTAGATAGAGAGGGCGGGGGGTGGCCGCTGTAGATGGCCGCCAGGGCAGGCTCCCGGAGGAGGCTGTGAGCAGAGCCTTGAATAAAGCATGAGGCAGAAAAGCACTAGGGAGGTAGGGAGAGCAGGGCAGAGGCTCTGAGGCTGCCTTGGGCACCACCGCACAGACGGAAGTGGGTGTGCCTGGCCTGCAGAGTTGGGAGGGCAGCAGGAGGCGAGGTCACAGCCCGAGCAGGGCCCAGATCGCAGGGCCTGTAGGGGCCCCTAGGGAAGCAGGTGGAGGACAGGTCCAGAGCTGAGTTTTTAGATAAGGGTGACCTCAAGCTCAGTGGGGAGACCCTCCCTCCCCTAAAAAGACTAAAGATGGGGAAAAACAGAGGGAGAGCTTTCCTGGTGGGCAGCACAGAATTGATTCAAAGCGCAGTGCAATCTCCCTTTCCCTTTTCCCTTCCACCCAAATCCTCGAGTCTGCCAGGCTGGGAGGAGGCAGGAGATGGGGGTCAGGAGGAAGTGCTCAGGCAGACCCTCTCTTGGAGCTCGGAGCCCAAGTTCTCAGGGTGGCACGGCTACACTCCCACTGTAGCCGCCCCGCTGGCATCTCTGCTCCACAGCTTTCTCCTTGGGCACAGCCAGAAGAGCAAGAGCCGAGGTCTCAGAAAGACAAGGCCCCTCTACCCTGAGCGGTCTCAGTGGGCCTGAGCGCCCAGCTGCCCCCCTGCCCGCCCCCACGGGGAGACCGAAATGCCAGTGCACGCTGAGTTCTCCGGGCCCGTTAGCTTCTACCTGAGAACGGCTTTCAGAAAGCGGGAGGGGAAAGCCGCCTCTGCCCGCGTGACGCATCTCCCGACGTCCATCCCCTGACCGGCCCCAGCCGCAGCCCCGTCTTCTGAGAAGGAAAACCCCCCTTTTGTGAGGGCCGTGGTGCCAGCACCTCTGCCTACCAGGTATTTTTAGAAAGTCAAGGCTGTGGAAAGTTTCCATTAAGGATAGACCTCTCTTGTTTCCTAGGTTGAGAAAACAGGAAGCCCTCCAGAATCCGGGCTTTGAAAAGTTTCGCATGAAGCTGCCCTGACCCCTCGTCCCCCGGGCACTCTGCTTTCTCTGCGGCCTCACAAAGGGCTCTCAGCTTACCAGGCCCTGGCAGGGCTCCTAGACCACGGAGCTCTCTGGCTGCCATTCCTACAGGTCGTGAGCCCCTGAGAGTGCGCTGGGCCCTAGTAAATAGGAAGTGCCCAATTAATGCTCCTTAGCTGAGTATGAATTCATCTTCTGAGTTCTTTGTAAGAGAACCATTTCCATACTTTGGAAATGTTCGTTATTCTAATACAATCTCATACATTAACATATATGTTTCATATTCTAATACATATAACCATCTCATATATATATACATATATACATACTACCATACGAACCAACACCTGCTCTACACTGGTCACTGTGATGATTTTGTCACTTGCATTATTTTATCCAAGCTCCTCAACCACCTTAGAGGGAAGATAACGTTTCTATACACAATTCACAGATGGGGAAACTGAGGCACTGAGCAGTAAAATGGCTAAGGCAGGATTCAGCAAGGAAGGCAGCAGCAGAGGCAGGATTCTGACCGTGGCCATCCGGCTCTAGAACCTGAATCCTCGTCTTGCGTATGCTTTCAGCATGCATCTGAAGGACGGCAAGCTGTGCCGGGCTGGATTCTGGCACAGAACCGCCCATTTGTGCAAAGCCCTGAGCTCAGCATCTGACACACAGCGTGGGGAAACTACTAACCATTGTAGCTAACAGCTTCTCCTTGCCATTTACCTGGTATGTGCTAAGAGCTTGGGTGTACCTGGATGTCTACCATCCTCTCAACCACCATAAAAGGTACACACGGTTATGATTCCCACTTCACAGATGAGAAAACTGAGGCACAGAGAGTTAAAGTCACACAGCCAGTTTAGTGAGGGAGCTGAGCCAGACTTGGCTTATGTGGCTCTAAAGCAGGCTGTATTCGCTTTCTTCTTACAGGGGTGGTAGACCCATCCATGCAGGGGGCCTTCTAGGGAAAAGCACCCTGGACCTAAGAGGGTTCAGCCTGAATGTGGAAAGGCTGAGCAAATCCCAACAGTTAACCTTCACTGTTGGTTTTCCATCTCTCACTTTAGGATAAGGTGAAGATGTTAAAACCAAAGCTTGAGGCGGCTGTGGGAATAAATCAGTGTCAGAAGCAGGAGTGGGGATTCATCTACCTTTGATGGGACCCAAAGGGATCTGCCTCCTCTCCTTTCCCACTCCTGGGACCAGTCATCACAATTCACCTGCAAACTGGATGTGTACACACCCCTCAGGGCACATCACATATCTGTCTGGAGTCTGGGCTGCCACCCTTAATAGCAACTTCTTCTTTCCCAGGATGCTGAAAGGAAGCCTCTCTGCCAGATCCGTTATTCAAAGCCCTCACTGCCTTGATTCCGGGAACTAGTGCCCCAGACAGGAGGCCACAGTGGGAGAGGACAGCTGCCTTGTTGGTACCTGTGGCTGGCATTGCGTTCGTGGTTCCTTGCTAGGAATTCCACAGTCCTTTAGGGTTCCGGGGTGACCGAATTTTCCAGAGCTCTCTGATGTCACTTTCCATTTTATAGAAGATTTGCGACACAGTCTTTCAGAGTAGGGTGCAGGAGTTCCTGGTGGTGCTGAAAGGAAGAGATTAGGTTTATTTCATGGATGGCTGCTGTTTGTCCACCTTGTTCTCACCCTCTCTTTCTAAGCACCCCCCTCCTTCTGAGAGCTGTATGTTTGGTGGGTCAAGGAGCTGTGTGTTGGTCGTGTAGTAGGCATTTTCTGGGTGTCGTCATAACAAAAGGAGTTTGGTATGAGAGCCCAAATTGAATAAAATAGGAAAGAATGTGCTGAGAACATGCCCTGTGGCCCAATTCCTTTTTGGCCATGATTTTTAAGTTAATTTGGATGATTTTCACTAACAAACCTGTAGCATAAAATATTATCGCCCAGAAAAAAAAAGTCACAGCACAGGAAGGAATGTGCGTTAAAAATTATAGACATTGTCACAGAGAACAAAAACGTATTTTAAAAAAATAATATCATGACTGTCTAGGTTCCCGAAAGTGAATCTGATCTGTGTCTGGGTGTGCCTCTCTCTCTCTCTTTTCTTTTGTAGTTAATGAAATAATCAGGAAGGAGTTTTCAGGACCTCCCACCAGAAATCAGACGTAGAAGATGCCATTAGCAAGACACCTTCCGTATCTGACCCCTCCGAGCCTTCCGCTGCCCCTGACCTTCCGTTTTCTTTACTGTACACCTCCTGGCCTGGAGTCCACCCACGGGACAGCGTTCCAACAGAAAGCTGATTCTCAATTAAGGAGCACCCCCACCCACCCACCTCTGTCTGTAGACACCGGGGAGAACCCTCTGCCTTTTGATTTTTGTTTTAAATCCCAACAAGCATCTCAGTTGACTTACCGGCGGCCCATCCAAACCTAAGTGCCTGCTGACCAAAAACACATTCTGAACAAGACAGCACGCTGGAACACGCCTGAGAACGGAGTGCCCGCGGCCAGGGATGCGGGCTGGGGTGGGGGTGGAGGATGGGGGCACCGTGATGAAACCCCAGCCGTCGCGTTCATTTTTCCAGGTCACAGATTCCTGGTGTAGCTCCTGTCGCTTTGAAGGAAAGGAGTTCTCAAACCGAGCAACCAAAGGGACCTGGCCCCAGAGTCCGGCTTACAGGCTGGAGAAAAAGAGAAGCCGGACCGTCATCCTTAGAGACTGCCTCTTCGACATGACAGTTGGGCCACTGCAAAAGCTTTATTTTAAAATTTTCACTTTTGGAAGCAAAGCCGTCTGGCCCATACAAGATCACCTGTTAAAACTCAATGTTAAGTTATGACATATATACACGTTTGTTCCTTTTTTTTCCCCTCTGCTTCAAAAAGCAGGCCAACGGCGGCTAGAGGCGGCGTGCTCTTGGCCAGCCACTCGCCACCCCCGCAGGACACGCCCACGGACTGGAGAAGGAGTCCGGGCAGCAGAGTGGACCCCGTCCACTGCAGCCCCACGTGACGGCTTTTTGACATTCTTGCTTGCTTTCTTCCTAAGCTGCAGTGTTTTTCCATAGTAATTAAGGGTCTTAAGCATGTGCGTTGAATTTTGAGAAGGAATGGTAGAAGGGCTAAAGCAGAACTAAAAATTAAGGTGCAGGTATTTTTGTTAAGTAAAATGGTGGTGACATGAGGCAATTGGCAGGCCTAAGTGTTTCTCTAAGTGGGTTCCCCCACGAGAGGAGAAGGGCTGAATTCCCTCTGTGGCCCAGACTCAAAGTGGGACACTGAAGCTCAGGATTTGGCCCCAGAGTTCACAGGTTATTTTTACCAGCACCCCTTTAAAGCTCCCCTCAGGCCCAGAGACCCGTCTGCATTCGCTGCCCTGTCTAAACAGAAGCAAATCCACTCATGCGCATCCCTTAGTTTGGTGGGTGCTGCTCAGACCAGTCATTTTCGTGATTTTTCCTCCAGTTGTCTTTCTCCACCATGCACACCGAGAGTCCTCAAGAATTTCTCTTTTGGTGCAATTTTGGCAAACAACTAAAACCCTCAGAGAACTTGGCAGGTGAATTTTTAATCACACAGATGTGTATCTGCTTGCATTTATTGCAGACACTAGGATAAGCCAAAGATTCATTTTCAGCCATTTAATGTCTTCCTCAATAATCCACACAGAGTGTAAATATTCCTAGCACTCTTCAAAAGGCTGTACTTAGTGATTTCTCAATCAAATCTGGTGGGCATAGGCCTAAGAAGAGAACCATGGCAGTTAAAGATCCACTGTGGGTTTTCTAAGTATTGGCTTTCCCATCAAGGTTACCCAGAGGTTAAATGTCCCTGCCCACCGGGCCAGGGGCACAGGGCATGTGACCGTGGCCTGGTGTGTTTGGTGCTCCAGATAAAGGACAGAATGCCCGGGTTGGGACTTGTGTACCCCACACTGTGTAGCCTTTTCCTTAAAACCTAGCATTTATTTTCCTTAACAACAGGGAACTTCTCTGCCCACCCCAAGCACAGAGTTTAGCAAAACTCTCTTTTAAACCAAGTGCCAGTAGGAAGTTGTCCGCTACTGCAGACCTTCTGGGATGCAAAAATTCTACCTAATTAATTAAAAAAATTCTTTATACAAGTAGCTTTTACCTAAAGCATTTTCTCTCCAGCAATATTGACTTCACTGGGGAAGAGCTAAAGTGTTTGGTGAATGATTTGGTCACCCTTGACCTGGCTAGGAGCCATTTTTTTGCACATGAGGGAATTTGGCCTTTCCTCAGTTATCTGAATGTCTGACCCAAGTGCCTTCCTGCTATTGTAGCAAATTTGCTCAGCTTCATTGTGCATGGGCTGAAAAAGGACTAATGCGTTTTCCATCAATCTTCTAACCATGTTAGTGAAAAGAAACTCCTGGTAGTTCAAACTCCTGTACATATATATGTGTGTGTGTGTGTGTGTGTGTATACACACACAAACTCTTTTTCTAAGAAATCTTAGTTGATTAGAGGAAGCACTTCCATACACAACTATACCAAATAGCAAAGGAAAGAAACACAAGCATTAGTTTTGAGACGTAAATGGGCAAGAGAACGCGTGTTCAGAAGCGACAGCTGTCAAGAAAGTTTTGTCAGTTACAAATGCAGGAGGCAGTTTTGCCAAGAGTAATTGCTCACGAAGTATTTTCAGTATGGGAAGAGGCAATAAGATCCTCTAAGAGAACGAGTAAGGCAGGCTATCCAAATGGTCAAGATGTGTGTGTTGCACGTGTTAGAAGGATCTCAGGTCGAGGTTTGCACTTGCTACAGCCAAGGTAATGTAAATAGGTACCACGCCCAACAGCAATCTACCATGTTGCTGAATGTAGTATATTTCCAAGGTTTGCAAGTCTTCCTGTATTGTACAAAAATATTGCTGCTTGATAATATATAATAGCAATCCAAATTAGTATGTTATTAAATTTTATTTTCTTATCTGTATTTTTATGCTTTTTATCTGTCTTCAAATTATCATACCTGTTGGAATTAGAAACTATTTATAAATGGTCAGAAATCTTTTTCAATGGCCTTTTTACATATATGGTGATTTTTTCTTCCTTAAGAGTAATGATGTATTCCTGAACATTTGTTAATCATT